GCCAGGAATTCCTTCCCAATATCTCATCTAAGTTTGTCCTCCTTGAGTAGCTGGAAGCCATTCCCTGTGTCCTGTCCCTCCATCCCTTGTCCCCAGTCCCTCTCCAGCTCTCCTGGAGCCCCTTCAGGCCCTGCCAGGGGCTCTCAGCTCTCCCTGGAACCTTCTCTTCTCCAGGGGAACCCCCCCAACTCTCCCAACCTGGCTCCAGAGCAGAGGGGCTCCAGCCCTGGCAGCATCTGCGGGGCCTCCTCTGGACTGGCTCCACATTTTTTTCTCCCTCAGTAGTTCCTCTTTAATTGGGGGATTTTACTGCCTGTGCTCCCTGGGCTGGGCGAGCGTAAATATCCCTGAAAATGAGCCTTTGACATTCAGGCGGTTTAATGGAGCGGTTTTAGAGCAACAAATTTGCTGGAGGTTTCTCTGTAACGAAACAGAAATGCTTTTAGTGCAACGTTAGTGGAAATAATTTAATTCCAAAGGATTTCATTGCCAGGTTTATTTTTGAGAGCGTCGCTCGCGCGAGCGGACTTTTGTCGGAGAGATCCTGGAATAGCCATAAATGTAAATGGGAATTAGTTTTTGACTGAGCTAATCCAGTTCCATGCTTTGTGAAGAGCTAATAAATACCTTCCAAGTGGATGCAAAGGTTGATATCCAGAATTTTATGTTTCATTTTTTATTCTGTACAAGTTTGACTCGCAGAGAACGTGGAATTTCGAGCCCAGCACGGCTCAGACATTGATCTTTAATCATTGCTGTTATCAGCCCAGGTTGTGTTTTCTGATATATTTTAGTGGCTGGGAATAAATAAAACTACCAAAAAAACCCCAAAAAAACACCCCCATTTATTAAAAAATGTGTTTTCTTTTTTAGGTGTGAAGTCGAAAACAGGTATCAGGGAAATCCTCTCAAAGGAACGTGTTACTGTGAGTACCTCTGGGATTGTGTTTGCAGATAAAATATGTGCTTGAAGTTTAAAACACTTTGTTTCAGTTGTCTTAGCCTGTGTTTAAAATATGGGGGATTAAGGGAAGGACTGAAAAACAGCTCGAAAAAAGCTTAATTTTTCTGAAAAGTATTGTTTAAAGAGAATGAAAATGCTTTTCTTGATAAGGTCCGTGTGATGATTGGATCGTTTGAACAAAGTTTTGGATGTTTCTCACGTGACCGAGATGAAATCTGGTCCTTTGGAGAACACTCTCAAACAGATAAAACCCAAAGAATTTTTATAAGTGCAAAATGCTCTTTATTTTAAATTCTGATCCTTGTTAAAACGGGCTTCAAAACTGCCACGTTGGATTCCCGTGCAGTTCCAGAAGATCCTTTGCCAAGGCTCGACTTACTTGGTGGAAACCCTCCAGGTTGTGTTTGCAAATATTAGCAATGAGCAGCAGCCTGGCAGGGGTGGAGAGATGGAATCTGGAATTCCATGAAGTCCCCAGCAGTGGGTTTGTCCAGCACAGAAATGCTCAACGGGCAGGTTTTGGCTAATTTGGGTTCTGCTCGTGTGGCCAAACGAGGGCGTTGGTGGCTCCTCATGACAATCTCCGTGCAAGGATGACCAGATTCGTTGCAGGGTTGGTAAAATGGACAAAAAAAACAGGGAAAAGGCAGAATATCCCAACTCTTGCAGGAAGAATCTTGTGCTGTACAGATCCAGCCTGGCTTGGTTTCATTCCTTGAAGATTTCCTGGTGCTCCACTGTGGATAGACATCAGGTTGTCTGGCTTTCTCTGTCCACAGGGGATCTCCAGGAGGCAGAGAGAGAAAAAAAAAATAGCACCTGGTGTATAATTTCCTATTCCTCTTTGCTTGGAATGTTCCTGCACAGCTTCAGGAATGGGGACAAGTCAGAATATGGTGTTCAAGTCGTAATAAATGTCAGCATAAATAAGGATGCTGAGACTGGTGGATGCATCCCCAAAACTGGCTGTTGATCATCCCCCAGCCCAAGCAAACATGAGCGTGGAAGGACATCCAGGCAGACCAAAAACTGCTCCTGGAGTGCTTGAGTGGGATGTATTCCAGGCAAGATGGGAGCTGAATCCATCAACAACCAGCTGCTCTGTAAAAATCCTCCCAGTAAAGTGCACTGATGCACAGAAACTTGTCACAGGGGGAACTTTGTCCCCTGCCAAGTGGGAATTGCACACCCCTTTAATTTTCCTGCTGTCCCTTTAGAACATGGAGGTGTTGCAGGCTGGAAAAGTCAATATCTTGGCACGTTTTTTACAGTGTCTAGGTCTGTTTTTGCAATATTTAGGCATGAACTTCCATTCAGAGCAGCTCTTGGCTGGCAAATCTGAGCCACCTCTTTCCCCCTCCAGGGTTTTTTGTCCCTTGTGTGGCATCATACACAGACTGGGGGTCATTCCTGACAACAGCGTGGTGGCTCCTAGTTGTCCAAAAATCCCTTCAGTGGCATCATGCCTTGCTCTGCAGGAGCTGTTTTATTCCAGGAGGTGGGATAACCGTGTCCCTGTGTTCCTTACAGACACTCTCCTCATCGACTATCAGTTCACCTTCAGCCTGTCCCAGGAGGACGATCGTTACTACACCGCAATCAACTTTGTGGCCACGCCTGAAGAGGTGCATTTTCCACTTTTCCCTTTCAGATTCGTCCCTTGGGTGTCTCTCTTCTCTCCTCCTGGCCATGGAAGCTGTGGATTGTCACGGCTCCGGGGGTCTCCAGGTGTAGGCTGGTCGTGTGGAAGGTGTTTCCAACCTCCACGGAGCAACCGGAGCTTTATGGCCTTGCCTTGACTGTGCAGTCCCAAATTTTCGTGGGAAAAATGTCATAAGGATCCACAGTTCATCCTTTCCAGTTGTTTGAACAACTTCTGAGCCGCTCCAGTTCTGTGGAATTACAGAATCATGGGATGGTTTGGGTTGGAAGGGACTTTAAAGGCCACCTTGTTCCCGTGGGCAGGGACACCTTCCACCAGCCCAGGTTTCTCCAGCCTGGCCTTGGACACTTCCAGGGATCCAGGGGCAGCCACAGCTTCTCTGCCCAACCTGGGCCAGGGCCTCATCATCCTCACACCCAACAATTCCTTCCCAATATCCCATCTATCGCTGCCCTCTGGCAGTGGGAAGCCATTCCCTGTGTCCTGTCCCTCCATGCCTTGTCCCCAGTCCCTCTCCAGCTCTCCTGGAGCCCCTTTAGGCCCTGCCAGGGGCTCTCAGCTCTCCCTGGAGCCTTCTCTTCTCCAGGGGAACCCCCCCAGCTCTCCCAGCCTGGCTCCGGAGCTGAGATGTTTTGCTTGTTTTCACCCCAGCTCTTGTGTTTCAATTCTTCCTGTCACATTCTTTGCACTCCTTTCAGCAAATGCAGTGTTTAGTTTTTTTGCTTGATGTATTTTCTTCAGGTAAATAACGAATTCCAAGATAATTTCTTTTGTAGCAAAGATTTGTTAGGGAACTATGCAGTCAAACTGCTTATCCTAAAAATGGGGATTTCTTTTTGTGTTTCCTTCCCGCAGCAAAACAGAGACCTGGACATGTTCATCAATGCATCCAAAAACTTCAACCTCAACATCACTTGGTCCACAAGTTTTGCAGGTAAAATGAGCCTGATTTGAGTTCCTTGGCAGCTTGTTTCAGTTATCAGTTTCTGACAAATACAAATTTAATTAGGAAAACAGTTTTGTTTTTTTTTTTTTAACCTCTGTACTTGATATATAATGTCCTTAAATGCTGGGCCTGAAGGAAGAGGTGAAATTTTTTAAAAAAACCTGTTTTCCATGTTAGTAGTGCATTTTGGAAACCTAAGAAGGTGCAAATTTGATTTTTAATAATGCAGCATTTTGGCACACAGTGATTTTGATATTGCAGTGCAGCTAAAAAAGAATAATTTCTGAAGGAACAGTTAATTTTTTACCATTGGAATTCGGGCCAATTTGCCCTTTTGTTCTTTATTTTAAACACACATCAACACTTTTTTTCTTGCTCCTTCCTAAACCAGCTGGCACACAGGCAGGGGAGGAAATTCCAGTTGTTTCCAGAACCAATATAAAAGAGTACAAGGACAGTTTCTCCAACGAGAAGTTTGATTTCCGCAACAACCCCAACATCACCTTCTTTGTTTACGTCAGCAACTTCACCTGGCCCATAAAAATCCAGGTAAGAGCTGGTCATTTGTGTGGAATTCTTTAAAAGTGCCTTTTTTTTTTTATTTTTTGGTGACACTTTGCTGTGCTTTGAGTTGTCCAAGCTGCCCCAGCCTTGGTGGAATCCCACGGCAGACGGAGTTGGATGTTCTGGATAAGAGGGAAAAGGTGTGAGGTGTCTTCTGGTGCTGCCTCAGCCCAGGGGGGTCTGAAAATGTGCTGGGAAATAAAGTGAGATGCTCAGTTATTAAGGGCTTTAACAAGGTGTCTGACTCTGAACGTGGAGTTACTGATGTTGAATAGAAAGAGGGATGAAGTTAAAAACCAAACCTGGAATGTGGAGGCAGAGGAAAAGCAAATATCAGCTGCCTGTGTGCTCAGAGTGATGTGGGGCTTCTCTGAAGGACAAAAATCCTTCCAGGTCTGGGACAGAGATCATGGAATGGTTTGGGTTGGAAGGGACTTTAAAGCTCATCCCGTTCCACCCCCTGCCATGGGCAGGGACACCTCCCACTATCCCAGGTTGCTCCAAGCCCCTTCCAACTTGGAACACCTCCAGGGATGGGGAATCCACAGATCTCAAATAAGGCCTGGCATATCTGACTTCTTATTTAAGAAGTTTGGTCAAACATGGGAACCCAAATTCTTCCATCTTCACCCTTGCCCAGCCCAGTATGATGTGAAAGCTGAGAGTTCACCTTGAAGTTCTTGCTGTTCCTGACATTCAGTCCCACAAACTCCCACTCCCTGATAACACTGAGCAAGGGCATGAGATCCACCTGGAAAAAAAACCCTCCTTGAGCTATAATGACACTTTTCAAGTTATTCCCTTAATTTTTAAAAATACATTAGGAATACCTGTGAAACTTCTGCATCACCTTCTGGTAAAGACAGAGGGTTTGAGGTGTTCAGGAAACTTTTTGTTGTTGATGGCAGGCCGTGGATTGGAGAGGCTCCCTTTGGACTGCTTTTGCCTTCTTTTTAATGCCTTTGACAGTTTTGATAATAGTTTGCCAACTGGAGAGTTTTGACTTTACAAAGTGTTGAACTCTTAGTTTGTTTAGTTTATTTAGTCCTGATTTTTAGATGTGGAGGAGTTGGCAAGAGCTGCAGGGTCAAGCCTTGGTGTCATTGGATACTCAAGCAGCAAGTACTAAACCTCATTTTCATTGAAATACTCTTGTAGTACTGGAAGTAACATCTGTGTAGAAAGGTTGACACTTGTGTAGTGGTTTATTTAAATATTTGAGCTTCTCTTTTATCAAATTCACGGTCACAGACACCTGAAAAAAAATCATATTTTATTTAACTTACAGGTTATTTTGACTGATAGTTGATTTTGCATAATCAGTGCTGGACTGAGTCTTATCCTGATTTATGACTTTATCCTGATTTGTTACTTTATTATTTTAGTAATAAATAAAGTTCTTGCTGCAGAACTGTGGTAATACTTTGTAGATGTTTCAGAGCAGTGCTGTGTCCTCTCCCTGAAGCTCTCCTGAGTTTCCTCCAGTCTCCATCCACCTGCACTGACAGGGAATTTCTGGCTTTTCCTGTGCCAGTGTTGTTGAGCTTAAATGTCCCCTCCTCCTCCTCCTTTGGCAGCTCAAACTCCTGCTTTCCCTGGATGAATTTGGACAGGTCCTATCCTCTGGAAACCTTCCCTGTTTGTTTTTTGGCCTAAGCAGGACAAACCCTCCTGGTCCTTTCCTGTGGAATAGGTTATTCGGGTTCAGTTGCTTCCTTTGTTTTCCCTCTGTGCTTCCAGGTGTTTGTCTCTCTTGTACAGTTTTGGTCATGGGGATCAGGATCTGGCCAAGGCCAACCTGGCCTTGGACACTTCCAGGAATCCAGGGGCAGCCACAGCTTCTCTGCCCAACCTGGGACAGGGCCTCAACACCCTCCCAGACAGCAATTCCTTCCCAATATCCCATCTAATCCTGCCCTCTGGCACTGGGAAGCCATTCCCTGTGTCCTGTCCCTCCATCCCTTGTCCCCAGTCCCTCTCCAGCTCTCCTGGAGCCCCTTCAGGCCCTGCCAGGGGCTCTCAGCTCTCCCTGGAGCCTTCTCTTCTCCAGGGGAACCCCCCCAGCTCTCCCAGCCTGGCTCCAGAGCAGAGGGGCTCCAGCCCTGGCAGCATCTCTGGGGCCTCCTCTGGACTCTGAGGACATGAATGTACCAGTCAGTGTCCAAATGCCATCCTTGAACTAACTTCTGTCCTCTTTAAACCACTCTAATTCTTGAAATGATCTTCACCACCTTCCTGTCATGCAGGAATTCCCAGTGTATTGATATCCATAATGAAGAATTCCCAGTGTATTGATATCCATAATGAAGAATTCCCAGTGTATTGATATCCATAATGAAATTGGGATTGACTCAGCTGTACTTCTTAGGTCTGTACAATAAATAATTCTTCCAGAGAGGAAACAGTGGACTGGAATAGCAGAGGTGACTGTTGGCACCTCCAGTGCTTTGTTTGCACCTCATTCCAATTTTTCATTTGCTCATTAAGTTCTTTTATTCAACGTTCTCCTTGAGGAACTTTGTGTACCCTTGAGGTCTTGGGAGGATGAATGTTTAGATTCTCCCTCCTCCTCAAAATACAAATTTTAAATGTTCCACAGATCCATGCTCAGCTGCTGGACTGCTTTGACAGCCTCATTCCAGAGAGGATATTGTTCCATGTGCCATGTCTTTTGGAGATGGGATGGGTGCTGTCTGCTTTCCCTGGATTAGAACCCATCAAAACATTGCAGTTCTGTCTCCACTGTGGTTGTATCTCTTACAACCTCAACCTCATGACACACTTTGCCTTCCACCCATGTTCATGTCCCTATTCCCCTCTTAATTCAGTGTTAAGCTTGGTTTTATCAAGCTCTCCTTACAGGATCTCTTCCCTTTCCCTCCTGGTCTCCTTTGCTTGGATACCTGAAACATCTCCTGCTCTTTTGTTTTCATTTGCTGAGCTCTGGCACAGCTTGACTTCTGGCACTTCTTATTTTGTCTCCCTGCCCCTTGCTGGCTTTAAAGCCATTGCTAATCAATCCTTTCCTGTCCATAACACACATCCTCTTTAATTGATCCTAATGTCCTTTTTGAGGTTAGTTCTGAGGACGCAGCTTTCAAATAGCTTTGCATCTTTGACCTGAGAGAAAGACTTGGATGGCAGCTTTGCCATCCCTCATCTCCTCAGCCCACTTGATTTTACTGTTTGATTTAATTTCTCATGGTTAAAGAGTGAACTTGGATTCTCTTACAACACTTAACCTCTTTTTATCCCTAATTTAATAGGATTATGCTTGTGTGCACTCAATCCAAGGTAATGTTTTATCACCAGCTCTTCTTAATGTCCTTGTTACTTACCAAAACAAAGCCTAAAATAGCATCAGCTCTTACTCATGGAGACTTCTTCACCCTTTTTTGTGGAGCCTGGCAGTGATATCACATCCAGGGATGTGTGGTCCTTAGGATTTCTCTTCAGTTCTCAGCCAAAAACCAAGATTCACCGTGTCCTTCCAGGTCTTGTGCAATATTCTGTGGTGGATTGAACTTCCCTGAGTTCCAACCTCTGTTCCTACCTGTCCTTTCTCTGCCTCTTCCTTACATGCTTTCCCTATTTTTTTAATTTTTGAGAAGTCTTGGCTCTCTGGAGTTTCTCTTCAGTGTGATAAAACAGGAGTTAAATCATGGGATGGATTTTTGGGACAAAGATTTTTTTGAGGAAATGCCCAGAGAAGCTGTGGCTGCTCCATCCCTTGAATTGCCCAAGCAACCTGGGCTAGTGGAAGGTGTCCCTTCCCATGGCAGGGGCTTGGAATTAGATGATCTTTAAGGTCCCTTCCAACCCAAACCATTCTGTGATTCCATGATTTTAAGACTTCCCAGCGCTCGGTCCTTGCCTCATCCCAGTCTCTGTTCCTCTCTTGACTCAGATCTTTCCCATATTCCGTCTCTCATTTCTTTTTCCAAGCTGTTCATCCCTTATTTCCCTGCAGGAAAGTCCCTGTGCTTTGGGGTTCAGCCCTTCAGGGCAAAGTGGCTCCTTAATTAAAGCAGGATACAAACTGTTCCCTGATCTCCCAGCCTGACTCCTTCAGTTTTCCTCGTTGCAGCTCCACTGTTAAACTTTCTCTCAGCTACAGAACGTGTTTCAATTCCCCTTTGGAAAGCAGAGTGGTTTTAATGGCAGGAATGTGATGAAATCTGGGAAATTCTGCTCCTGCCAGGCTACTGGGAATGATTCTGTCTCAGCTCACACGTGTGTTTGGGTTGTTCCTGGGCAGGGCAAAATGTCCAAATCATATTTTTTTTTATTTTTTTTTTCTTTGTTTGCATATACTAGTAAACAGTCATTTTACACCCCCTCATTTCTCCTGGCTTATCTTCAATTTCAATACAACAAATGTATTTAAACGTGAGATTTGTTTGTCTATACAAAGCCTTGCAGCATAAAACTTCAGCAATGTAGTTTTTACTGCAAAACAACCCTACAATCCACTTTTTTTTTTTTTTTTTTTTTTAAAGAGCAGAAACCTTATCCTGAAGTCCTTGATTGAAATCTTGCCTCCCTTTCCCTCTCCTTGCCTGTTAAAATCTGCACTTGGAAAGTATAAATGCTCTTTTGTGTCAGAGACATGTCCCTGCCAATGCTCAATTCTGGCTGTTTCCCCCCCCCTTTCTTGCTCCACCTCTTTTCCAAACCACTTCAGTTCATTCCTTTTTTCAAGTATATGGGTTTAGGATGTCTCTCCCTGCCTGTTCAATGACTTGAAATGATTATTTAGTGGAAGAATTAAAGCAGCAAAATGCAGAAAGCCTTCAAAGTGCAGCAATGCTCTTCCTGAGGAAGGAATTCCCTGAAAAGCCTTACCTTGCCAAGCTTTTCCTGAAAATCCAGGTAAGGTCTTGTCACAGCAGCTGGATATTTCCTTTCTTTGCTTTGTGGCTCCTCTGCTCCAAACTTTGGCCACACTGAATTCCTGAGCATTCAGCAAACATTCCTTATCTTCC